CCAAGAAGGCCTGTTCCCTTTGCCTCTCCTGTCCCTGAATCTATCTTTGAGCCTTCATTTCTCAGGTGAAGTTGAAGCATTCAATGTGAACCCTCTTTTTTTTTTTTTTAAGTGTTTATTTCTTATGAAAGAACCAGAGACAGAGAGAAGGTACCCCCAACAACTGATCTGCCTGCAGTCTTAGCTGAGCTACACATCAATTAACTACGCATAGTGTTGAGAATTAAAAGCCTCATCACCACTTATTAGCAAGTGGCTTAACCTTTAAAGTCCAGGTTTCCTTATCTGTAAGTGGAAACGATACCCATTCTGACCTCCTGGGCTGCTGAGCAACATGTGAGAGAGAATTAACTTAAACCCTTGACAGGGCCTGCATATGGCAACTCTATGGAGTATTTTATTAGGTAAGAAAACCAACAAATTAGGGACCACCAGTTAGCATAATGGCTATGTCACTAGACTCCCATGTAGTCAACTGCAGTTTGAGTCCTGGACCCAGGGGCTTAAACTCAGGTCAGGTGCGTGTGTGCTCAAGACCCTGAGAGGAGAATGGAGGAGAAGGAATTGCGGCATGGCCACTCCGCCTCCCCTGGGGGAGGTGATTTCTCATTTTCTGTCTCTTTATCTCTCTGTCTTTCTGGTGAGCGCATGCACCCTCTAGCAAAATCCTCTCAAAAAAAAAAAAAAAAAAAAAAAAAAAAAAAAAAAAAAAAACCAGAATTAATTTTATACAAAGCCAGTAAAATTAAAAAATGTACTTCACTTATAGTTTAATAAAATACTCAGAAGCCTCCTATGGAAATATTATAAATGTTATCATTAACGAGCTAAATGAATAGGACACAACTCAAAATCCATTCCTCCTGAAAAAGACATTTCCCTCACATTTACTTAATTACTTCAATTAAGTAGAAACAACTAAGGTTGCATCATTTTCTGTAAAATAAAAAACATAGCAATTTGTTGTTAAAAACACATTAATAGGGGCCAACAGGTGGTGTGGTGTCTAAGGTACTGGACTCCCACATGGCCAACCATGGTTTGAGATGTGGACCAGGTGGCTTGATAGGCCTGTGTCTGCGTGTGCCCTAAATCTGGAGAGGAGAAGGGATTGTGGTGTGGCCATCCCCCCTGGGGGGTGATTTCTCACTTTCTGTCTCTCTCCAATGAGTGCATGTGCCCAATGGCAAAAACTTAAAAAAAAAAGAACCACACAAAACCACATGAATGCACTGATTTATATTAAATATTGAGCATAACACTACCATATAACCTTCCACTCATGCTAGCTCCATACTGTAAGGACCGGGGTGGGTTCATCTACTACTGTTACAACAAACACTTATCCTGGCCTTGCAGCAGAGTACTTGATTCCCCATATTTCTTCATTAGGCAGGAAATAGAGAGTATTGTCAGAGACTGTCTCCCAAATCCCCTCTTCAGACAGATAAAATTGACTGTTAACTGCTACCAACCACATGTGCAGGACCAAAGTGTCATGAATTAAAACAAAATTCACACAATCAGTAGGCGCTCCTTGGAGACAGAGGCTAAGAAGAGGAGATGCAGGGAAGACGAATCCATTCAGGGTCTCCACAAGCCCAGGATCAGGCTGACGGATGCCTTTATTCCGCTCTTAAAACGGTGGAGCGCAATCCTACACAGATCTCAGTGTCACCTACAGGAACTGCCTTCAAAATTAGTCTGTATGGTCAGTACAACCCATCATCAGAAGCATTTATGGATTGTTCTTGATTTTGTTTTTCCAGTAGCACTGTAGAATTCCGCTTGAGATGGATCACCCCATAATACATAACCAGAAGGGATGAGAAACTCACGTTGTGATGTGCCTCCTGGTCAACCCATGTATTAGGAGCATGCTTTATATTTACCCAACAGAGCCAGTGCCCTGGTGTAAACTATCTCTGGGAAGAGCCACGTGGGCTCCCCTAAGACGGTAGTGAGTGGCAAATAGGCATGCAGACTCTGAGTCGGGGGATCTCTGTGCCACATCTTCCTCATCTGTGAAATGGGGACAAGTCTACCTCTCTCGGAGGGTGGCTATGCAGCGTGGATGAGCTAATGTCTCAGAAATGCTAACACAGTGCCTGCCCCCAGCGATCACTTACTGACTTTACTCTTGCTGGCAGAATCATTAACAGCCAACTTAGGTCAGTTTTGTGTAAAATTAACTGACGAGCACAAACAAAGTTATTTGAAAAAACTGGTTTCACATCCCTTTTCTTATTTATGATGTTTTTTGGAAAGGTTTAAACACAATTTCTTAAATTGGGTCAGCTGTTCTTAGAAAACGTTTCTCATGTTCAGTCAGCCACGGTGATCCAAGACCAGGCTTTATTGTATAAAATGCGGAAGCTGTGCTTGTAGCTCAATAAAAATAACAACTCTCTTAAAACAAAAATTAATTAGAGAACAACAAACCAGGTCAGTAAAACAGTCCCCATCTAGGGGCTGGCAGGTAGTGTGGTGGTTAAGGGCACTGGACTCCCACATGGCCGACCAGAGCTCGAGTCCTGGACCTGGCTGCTTGCTTTCTCACTCCCCACCCCTTATATTCCCTGCCCCTCATTGTGTCCCTCTCTGGTCAAATTTAAAAATAAATAAACAAAGTTAAATAAAATAATTCTTAAAAAAAAAGAAAACAACAGCAATGAAAACAAACTAAAAGTCCTCATTTTTCATCTCAGAAATACTTTATTATAGGAATCAGCAGTTGGCATAATGGCTATGTCGCATGTAGTTGACCGTGGTTTGAGTCCAAAACCCGGTGTCTTAAACTCACGCCAGGCGTGTGTGCATGCGTGCCCAAGATCCCAAGAGGAGAATGGAGGAGAAGGGATTGTGGCATGGCCATCCCCCCGGGGGAGTGATTTCTCGCTTTCTGTCTCTCAGTCTCTGTCTTTCTGGTGAGCGCATGCGCCCTCTAGCAAAAACCTCTCAAAAAAAAAATAAATAAAAGAAAGAAAGAAATATTTGATTATAATATTTTTCTCTGAAAAATGTTGGATCATATTTTCCATTCTCTAGATATTTTTTCTATGGAAATTCTGAAGAATAACTTCTACAGCTTCTAAAGAAAGTCATTTGTCCTCTCTGGTTCTAACTTTTACATAACAAGTTAAGCATAGGAGTGGAAAGTTTACTAAGACTCTTTTCGTGGGTGTGCAACATAGCTATGGCTAGATCAGAAACCCGTATTTTTCCATTTAAGGTATTACCATTATTCTCCACAAGAGAAAGGGTTAAAAAGTCAACTGCTTTAGAAAATGAGGATAAGTGGATATTTACAGGACAGTGTTAACATGCCAGGTCAATGCAGCTATGAATAATTTCTAGTAAAAAGTAACTTTGATTTTGGTGATCAATATAAAGAATTCTATACTAATTTCTTAGTGTGAACTCAAGAGAAAAAAAGCTACATTAATTACTTTTTAGTAATTACTTTCTTACTTCCAGAAAGCCTAGTAAATAATTCTTTAATTCATACTTTTCACTAATTGATCTTGAGCTGTTCAGCATTTTTCCAAATGCTAAACAGGTTCAAAACTTATTTTAGACTAAAAATAAGTTTTTCTTTTTAAAGTTAATTTAAGTAAAATTTTGGGTAGTCGGAAAAGTCGTGACATGTATTTTTTTTAAAACAAAAATGAGCCATGACTTTTTGACAACCCAATATATAATATAAGATTATGCTTTTAGGGTAGAAAAGATAATTTGCTTCCACTTGGGGAAAAGCTTAATCATTAAAGAAAAAAGCACTTCCCTCTGATTTCCAAGTGCTTGCAGGATCCTTTCCCCAGGTCCCGGGACACAGCACGCACACCTGCACAAAATATCTGAAGTCTGCCGGCAGGAAAACGACCGTCCTCTAGTTTTGTACTTGGATTCCAGAGTGAAGCCCACTCACCAGCTTTCCCCTTTGTTGCGCCGACCTGGTTTCTCGCAAGGTGTACACATCCCCACAGACGGAGATCTCACGCCAGACCCCGGGCTGGGACTCCTCAGTGAAGCCCCCTCTCGGATGCATCACCAGGACGCCATTGGTGGTGAGTCCGTCCATGTGGCCATCGGGGTTTTTCCACTTGGCTGCCTTTTCCTGGAGGGCGTGAACAGAAAGGGCATGCTGAGGATGCCATTCAAAACCATGAGACTCTGGAATCTCTTTACAACACTGGGTAATGAGGTGAAGGTTGGGGGTAGTGATGAATTTTCATATTCTATTTGAAAATTCCCTTAGTTGTACTCCTGCAGTGCTCTTATCCTATTATCTAAAAATGCTTTTCATCTACTCACTATCTGGATGCCGAAGGAAGGACAGTCATTAAGAGAAGACTTTTTATTAGAGGTACAACATTTCAAAAATGTTAAGCCAACAGGTTGTTGTCATTATGTTTCCACACAAGCCAATGTTGAAATCCCCCAAGGTTGAAGACACAAGCAGCTGGATATAATAGCAGACAGACACTCTCAGTCCTCATGCCACAGAAAGTCTCCTCTCCTTCCTGGGTCACCAGCCCAGACACGGGGTAAATCCTTATTCGTGTGATTAGGACAGTTCCAGCCCCCTACCTGATGACTAGTGTAGGGCTGCACATGTGACTGGGTTCTGGCCAATGAGATGTGATGTCTTTCAGAGGTTTCTGGAAAAGGCTGCTTTGCTCCCTGAGTGATGAGGAAGAAGGAACACATCTGCCACCCTTTCTTGGACTGGAAGTTGATGTGAACCGACCAGCCATGCAGCTAGCCTCCCTAGGAGACCCCTGTTCCATACAACTACATGTTTTTTATTATTGCATAGGCCCTTGTGTGTGTATGTCTTGTGTGTGTGTGTGTGTGTGTGTGTGTGTGTGTGTTTTCTTTCCCCCTCAAAGAAAATCCTGATTCAAAAGGGAACTGTATTAAATCTATATATACCTATGAGGGCTGGGTTCTTAATCTGCTTTGTTCTCTGTGACGCCATATCTACATCATCCAGTTTGGAACACAGCACACACTCAATAAAATATATCTGACTCACTGACATTTTCCTTTGAGCCTTATGGTCTAGATTTAGTCAATTTATTTTTGCTCTGAAATCTTAACCTACCAGAAATACATTATATACAATGTTACTATACATAATTTTGAAAAGTAACACCTGTTACTTTTATATACTGCTACACATATTACATAGTTTTTGTTATGTTTTGTTATAATAAAAAATGAGTCTTGATTTAACAGTTTTCAAATTTCTTTTCTTTTAAAACAATCATTTTATTTAACTTTATTTATTTTAATTTGACTAGAGCGGGACAGAGAGAGAGAGAGAGAGAAAATGAGAAAGCAAGTCACCAGGTCTGGGACTCGAACCATGGTTGGCCATGTAGGAGTCCAGTGCCTTTAACCATCACGCCACCTGCTGACCCCTAACAATATTCAAATTTGTAATAACGGCTTTTCAAATCAGGCCTCTGAAAATAAAATCTCATAGTCCAGATGTATCATGCAAAGCAAGTCTTGGTCCCAGTTGAATATTCTATATCATAACAATTGGTGTTTGGAGCCAGGAAGTGGCACAGTGGTTGGGGCATTGGACTCCCATGTGGCCAACCCAATTCAAGTCCTGAACCTAGCAGCTTGAAACTCAGGCTGGGTGTGTGTGCATGCGTGTTCCAAATCCTGATTGGAGAATAGAGAAGAAGGGACTGCATCATGGCCATCCCCCTGGGAGGTGATTTCTCACCTTTTCTCTCTGCCTCTCTGGAGAAAGCACATGCCCTATGGCAATTTTTTTTTTTAATGGCAGTAGTTGGTATTTTCTTGTTATGATGTAGTTAGTGGTAGTACTTACTCCAAGAAATATGTTTTTGGAAGAGTCGAATCCGGCTGCGAATATCCGCGCTGTGTAGGGCTCGTTCCTGTCACACACGATCCTGCAGGCAAACCTGGATATGGTGCTCTGAGTGATCTGGGCTTCGTCATTGTTCTGACTGCCGGAAATGGTGTCTGTAACCACGAAGTCTATAGGGCTTTCTGTTGATCTTCCCACCTAAATAAGTCAATTATACTCATGATTAACTTAAAAATATCAGGTTGCTATATTCTCCTCATACGGAATGGACACTCAGGATCCTTTTAATAATAATACTCAGGATCCAGTCATTATTTCAGCTCTCAGAGTCAGAATTTAATAAAAAAATTTTGTTGTTCTTTTTCTTATTTAACTAGGGAGATACTATGGTAACCCACAACTGCATTTAAAATGCTTTTTACTGTATTAATTTTGTCCTCCTGTGGCAAGGAACACAGAATGGGATCCACCCTGCTAACAAACACTGGAGTGCAGAATGCAGGAAGTGTTGACGACAGGCTGCTGTACAGCAGAGCTCTAGAACTTACTCGTCTTTGCTTAACTGAAACTTTATGTGTCCAGTAGATTTTAAATATGAGAAGAAAACTCAATTTTCTGTTCTGGAAGAAAGCATTTTATCTTCCCTACACATCAGATTTTATCTCTTGGGTCCAGGTAAAAATACTACTTTCACAGGAAATCATTATTATTATTACTATGATTAATTTTTTCCTCTAGTTCATGGTGGAACAAAAGATTTTAAATAAATAAAGGACCTCTTGCCTCCCACTGTTTCCCAGCTCCACAGAGAATGGTTTTCCTCCAGCAGCGAGACTCACAAGATGAACCAGAACCGCCTTGACCCAGTCATGGAGATAAAATATCTGGCACCATCACTCAGTGTATATGAAAATGATAAAAAGGGCCGACACAAGTCAGTCCAATGTCTGGGATGCAGTCAAATGAAAGATTTAAAAAGCTTGTCTTGGCATTTCAAGTCGGGAGTTCTAAAATACTCTCATGGGGAAGTCTACGTAAAGTTGCCGATAATATTATATTGGCTTACTTTTCTTGGTAAGGTTTAAGAACTACCAGAAGACTGTAAGTCATCCCTCAGTATCCGTGGGGGACTGGCTCCAGGATCCCCTACAAATAGCGAATCCACAGGTGCTCAAGTCCCTTATATAAAATGTCATTGTTTTCAAGTATTTGCATATAACTGACACATATCCTCGCATTAATTTAAATCATCTCTAGATCACTGATAATCCTGGCTATGATGCCTATGTTTCCATGGATTCCATGTAGTACTTGGCATGTGGCAAATTCAAGTCTTGCTTTTTGGAACTCTATGGATTTTTTTTTTTCTGAATATTTTCAGTCTGTGATTGGTTGAATGGATGTGGAACTCGTGAATACAGAAGGCTCGCAGTATTTCATTAGGAAGATCTTATAGTTCTAACAAATCGTTTCCTATTCAATAAATATTGCTCTCTCCTGTGAACCAGGGACAGTTAAATATATGTTTACAAATAAGGAAAACTCTCAAAATGGAAAATTAAAACATTTATACAATGATGTACTATGAATCTCTTACTGGAAAACAGCGATAAGTGTTTTTGTACCTAAGAGACTTCCTAAATTAAAATCATTTATATGAAAATGAGCAATTTCTCACTAAAATGATATTAATGTTTTGTCCTAACAATAGTGACTTGGATTCCAAAGCAGCCAACAAGAGGGACACCAGGAGCTCTGAGAAATATACAATAAAAGCCCCCAAAAGTCACTTTCCAACCTGTTTTTATTCTGATCTCAGAATTCAATCTGAAACATAAACATGTTTAATACATTTTTATCTAAATGAAGTGAAAAAAAAATACATCACTTAGCTCCACTTGCTTTCTGGAACAATATTATTAAATTTCTTTTGTAACTCTCACATGTATATTCTTATACACAGATTGTCTCTGTAAAATCAACAGATAACAAATATCTTTTTCCTGTTTTGACAACTCTCACTGTCTTGTACAAATAAGATGTACCTGGAATAAACTAAACTGCTGGTTTTACTGAAAATCATCAATTGGAACAGTTGCATATTGCTGCATGTATGCATTTCAGGTTTAAAAAACACACAGAGATAACACGAAAACATATATAATTCATCTTTCTGAAGTTGCAGAATGTCTCCTCTACTGGTTTCATATAAAAGCTAGTCGTACGTCTCTCAGAAGCCCTGCTGATTCAGACTGCTCTCTTTTCCCCCCAAGTATATTTATCTGTTTCTTCTATAAGAAAGAGAGAAATGGGGCGGGAGAAGGCGAGAGAGGGCACCCCCAACTTAGTCTTGACTCTGTGACCCACACCCTGCTTCGGCTGGCTCTGAATCAGGGCGCACCCATGACCTGTGTGTTCAGGGAGGTCCCTAGGTGTGAACCTGGAACCCTCTCATATGAGTCAGCTTCAAAGAGCGTTGTGTCATTGTTCTACTGCCAGGCAGCTCCAAGACTGCTCTATTCTTTTAAAATTCTTTTAAAAGAAAATCAGAACTTATTGCAAAATATTTAACAAATACCTAAAGCCATAAAGGAAAAAAATAAAGGCCGCCCCAAATTCAGGAACAAATCAGTCCTGATCTGAGTGAAATGCGAAACGTACTCTAATTTCCAGGTCACCTCATAAAACCTCGAGGCCCCACAATGACACAGTCTCTGTCCCGATTTCTGTCAACCTCCATGGAAGAGGGCAAAGACTTTGCCAGTCCCATAATAAGCTCAAAGTTAAAACCCCTAGTTGTCACACAAGGGTTCCTTTTTGTCTACAGAAATGACTTCTAGAAGGGCCAGACTCTTGAGTCCACCCAAATGGATTAAATGCATGTCTTGATGAATTAACTGAAATTGACTGTAAAACATGAAATTTCATTCCAACTGGAGCATACTGCTAGGATCAATTATTTTAATTCATGATACTTATCTGGTCACATAAGGTGAGTTTATCAATTCATTTCCATTTAAGTCTAACCTCTTGAGTGCTACTCAAATTTTATACTTTAGGACACAAGGCTCATGCTGCTTTTGCCGGGAACAAATCAAAGTCACTTTCCTACTAAAACCACTCAATGTGGAAAATGTGCAGCCTGTTCTTTCTTTTGACTGTTAGATCAATTCCATCTTATTTTAAACACAGTCATTAGACAAGCCATCATATTTCTATAGTATATCTGATTTTCGTAGAGTGCTGCTATTCCTATAGTAGCTATAGCAAGAATTTCATTTCATTCAGAACTTTACATTTTATGTACGTAAGACATTAGGGTTTGCCTGGATCTCAGCTGAAGCCAGTATGGGTAAGACAATACCGAAGCACCCGGAAAGGGGCTCCTTCGCCTTCCCCGCAAAGCCTCCATCTGCATCTCCGGTTACTGTTGGCCTTCCCTCCTACCAGTGAGGATGAATGAGTGTTGCTCCTGTCTAAGACCGATCACTCCAATGACCAATACTTGGTGCCCCAACATCTCCCCTTCCCAGGCATTTCACTCCTGATATTGACCAACTCCCGATTCTTTGATTTCTTCCTTTATACTAGATGATGTCAAAAGCTCACAAACACACCCTGGAGCTTCTCAAATGCCAGTCAAAGATAAGTTTTTCTTTTGTTTGTTTTATTTTATTTTATTTAAAATTTTCAACCAGTCACTGATACCTTTAAAAAAATGCAATAAAAGCAAGTACTAGAAAAGCGATCATCTGCTTGGATAGTTCAGCTCTATCAAGTCATCACAGAAGTCTCCTAATGCCTCCTCTCGATTTCCGCCCTCACCTCATTCTGACCTGTGAACATATACTTCCCTCCTGGGGTGGGCATAGTCTGGCTGCTTGGACTAGCCTCCCATCTTTAAAAATGCCTTCCTCTCCCTGTCTGCAACCCTTAAGCCCTGGCCCCATTTCTATGACTTACTTAAACAGCAGTACTTCTTGGAAAATCTCCTAAGAGGTACTACCATTTCCTCACCCAGCTCTTCAGCTTCCCTTCTTAAGCCACTCCGACTGAGTGTCCTGCCCCACAGCTCTATGGAACCCTCGCAAGTTGAGGGTTCAACGGTACTGAACCAGAACCAGCAGTATCATTTAGATACTGCTAAATCTGGGGCTTAATACCAGCCAGCACGTTCTGGCACACCTGTTCCCGGCATAAAAATAAACACTTCCTTGGGGCCAGCAGATGGCATAGTGATTACATTGTTGGACTCCCACACATGGCTGACCACATTTTAAGTTCCATACCCGGTGGTTTGAGACTCATGCCAGGTGCATGTGTGTGAGTGTGCTCAAGATCCTGGGAGGAGAATGGAGGAGAGGGATTGTGGCGTGGCCAGCCCCTGTGAGGGGGGTGATGTCTCACTTTCCCTCTCACTGTCTCTGTCTCTGTCTCTCTCTGGTGAGTGCACACGGCCTGGGACAAAAACTTATACAAATTAACAAACAAACACTTCCATACTAGTTGGTAAACAGCTCTCTTCCCTTCTCATTCTGTTTTTTTCCTTAGAAAATCTCAACAAATCCCCTTCATTAGTCAAAAAACCCTGATGGCTTCTCTTGAGCATCAGGCTAGCACACCCACTCTCCACTTGAATGTCCAGTAGACATCTCAAATGTAACATGTTCCAAACAGGATTCAGATGCCCCTCCCACCTCTGGATTTCTCTGTCAGTGACTGGCATCCACTTTGCTCAAGCTAAAAGCCAAAACACCTAAGTTATCCTTGATTTTTCCACTTTCCTCCATGCTCACATTAGCCTTATAAATCCTGTCAGCCGTGCCTCCGACCCGGTCTTCGGTCCTTTTATCATCTTCCCTATTTCAGTTCCAGTTACCATCATGTCTTACCTGACGCCATCACCTCAGCCTCCAAACTGGCCTCCCTCTTTTCACACATCCTCCTAGCTAGATTCTTCTCCACACAGGAGTTAGAGATATGATATATAGATATATTATGTAGATATATCTATATATAATACACACACACACTTATACCTCTCCTCTCCTTAAAATCCTCCACCAGGATTGACTTTCCTCAATCCCTACACTCCTATAACGCAACCCAAACTCTTACCTGGCCCAAAGGCCTAATCTCTCCAGCTCTTGGTCCACCTCTCTGAGTTCATCCCATTTCTCTTCCTCCCTCCTCCATTCTGCTTTGACTTGGAGCCTTTCACCCAGTCTCCTCTGCCTGGAATGCTTGCTTATTTGTGGTCCGTCTACCTCTTCCAGAAAGAAGGTTCCATGACAGGAGCCTTCGCTATCTTATCCCCAATAGAGGATACTACCAGAGGAGTAGTCAGTGAAGCTAGTGGGTCCTTAAGAAGTTAAAATGATGAATGGAGTGACGCTGAGCCTTGTAAGATACACACACATGTGGCACACACATGTGCATCTGAACAAGTACGATGTTTTAATACCTACTGAAAAAAATGTAGCTATTCTTTAAAATTTTTCTCTTAACTAAATAAATACTAATTAAATGTTACCATCTAAAACTATGAAAAATCAACTATGTTAAAAACTGAATGCAGAGGCCAGTAGGTGGTGTAATGGTTGCATCATTAGACTCCAACATGGCTGGCCGTGGTTCAAGTCCTAGATCCACAGGCTTAAAACTCACGCCAGGCGTTTGTGTGTGTGTGTGTGTGTATGTGTACCCAAAATTCCAAGAGGAGAACAGAGAAGAGATTATGGTGTGGTCATCCTCCCCTGGGAGGTGATTTCTCGCTTTCTGTCTGACACATGCCTTACAGCAAAAATCTCTCTTAAAAAAACAAAACAAAACAAAAAACAAACCCACAAAATAGGACCCAATCCAAATACCCAAGTCCAAAGACTATGAAATTGAGAATTCAAAAAAAAATAAAAAAATAAAAACCTCTCCAAGAAAAAAAAAGGGGGGGGGGGACCAGCCA